GTGAAATTTTGAAGGCTGTCACCGAAATGGTGGAACAGACCTTTGATGTTGAGTTTGAAGTTTAGACCTAAAGATGGGTAAGGATTGGGAGGACATTTTTATAAAGTATAGTTTGAAGTTTTTCCCTGAGAGTTCTTACCATAGTGATTCTAAATCTAGTGTCTCCAAATTCTAAAGAGCCTATGAGGTGGTAGTTGGGGGGAAGCTGTCCTAGAGATATTTTTATTATTTCAAACAATATATGGAGTTGTGTCCATATATGTCAGAAGGCTTCAAGGCTAATTAAAATGTTAAATGTTAAGTATTTGTTTTTAACTCACTATCATGACACCTGTTATCTCATATTAATCCAAAGGTCTGATTGGCAATTATGTGTCTCATAAAAAATGGAAGGCATTCAGAGGGTCAGAGGGTCTGAAATCGCTTCTAACTTTTTTTAACTGGTCTCTGCTTCTCCTCTTGTCCCATTCTAATCCAGTCTCCATGTGGAGGCAGAAAGATCTTCAAAAGCTCAGTAGGATCCAGCTAGTCTCCAGCTTAAACCCCTTCAGTAACTTCCCATTGCCCTGAGAGAAAACCAACTCTTCTCCAGATTCTGACCCTGCTTTTTTCTCAGTCTTAATCCAGTTCAGTTCTTTATTGTGCTCCCACAGGCTGGTCATGTTGGTCTTTTACTTCCTAGAAAGCAGCTACATGAAGTTCTCTCCCGACAGGGCCTTTGCACCAGCTGTTCCTTCTGACAGTGCTTTGCCCCCAGTCCTCCCTCTGCATTGCTCCTTCTTAGTCTTCAGGTTTCAGCTGAACTGACACCTAGGAAGTCAGCTAAATCGGTTTTAGGTTTCTCACCTCTGCCTTATTCTCTGTCGTTGAACCCTGTTTTATACTTTCTATCAAAAAGGGAATTTTAATAAATGTTTACATACATATTCATCTTCTTACTTTCTGTGTATTGTCTGCCTTTCTCCACTAGACTCCACCTCCATGAGGTCATAGGACCATGTCTGTTTTGTTCACCACTGTGCCTGTTGTAGTACCTAGCCATAATAGGTGCTCAATAAATATTTATTGAATAAATTAATGCAGTTAGGTAGATAAAATTCTTCAAAATATGCAGTTTATAGGAGAAATTTTTCAAAATTACTATAATTTTTCTACATGCTATTGTAAAAGTATTCTAATAATATATAGGACATAAAGTAATAGAGATTTTTCTCTTCAAACTTTAGTGCCTTTAGTGCCACTCAGTGGGGATAGTTCTTTTTTTTTTTTTTATTTTTTGAGATGGAGTTTTGCTCTTGTTGCCCAGGCTGGAGTGCAATGGTAAGATCTCGGTTCACTGCAACCTCCATCTCCCGGGTTCAAGCGATTCTTGTGCCTCAGCCTCCTGAATAGCTGGGATTATAGGCACCCGCCGCCATGCCTGGGTATTTTTTTTTTTTTTTTTTTTTTTGAGACAGAGTCTTACTCTGTCGCCCAGGCTGGAGTGCAGTAGTACGATCTCAGCTCACTGCAAGCTCCACCTCCCAGGTTCATGCCATTCTCTTGCCTCAGCCTCCCGAGTAGGTGGGACTACAGGCGCCCTCCACAACACTCAGCTAAATTTTTTGTATTTTTAATAGAGACAGGGTTTCACCGTGTTAGCCAGGATGGTCTCGATCTACTGAGCTCGTGATCTGCCCGCCTCAGCCTCCCAAAGTGCTTGGATTACAGGCGTGAGCCACCGCCCCCACGCCACGCCCGGCTAATTTTTGTATTTTTGGTAGAGATGGGGTTTCACCATATTGTCCAGGCTGTTGTCAAACTCCTGACTTCAGGTCATCTGCCCGCCTTGGCCTCCCACAGTTCTGGGATTACAGGCATGAGCCACCATGCCCGGCCTCAGTGGGGATAATTCTTTTAAAGGCTTTCAGTTCCAGGAGTTTGAGACCAGCCTGGGCAACATAGTGAAACCCTGTCTCTACAAAAAATAAAAAATTAACCAGGTGTGGTAGTTGATGCCTGTAGTCCCAGCTACTTGGGGTGCTGAGGTGGGAGGATCTCTTGAACCTACATACAAGTTAGAGGTTATAGTGAGGTATGATTGTACCACTGTACTCCAGCTTGGGCAACAGAATGAGACCCTGTCTCTAAAAAAATAAAAAATAAAAATAAAGGCCCTCAGTGGTAAAATGTGGGGAATCACTGTTTTGAAAGTTGTTCTTCAGCTGAGAGCAGTAGCTCACGTCTGTAATCCCAGCACTTTGGGAGACCGAGGTGGGTGGATCACTTGAGATCAAGAGTTTGTGACCAGCCTGGCCAACATGGTGAAATCCCATCTCTACTAAAAATACAAAAAAATTAGCCAGACGTGGTAGCACATGCCTGTAGTCCCAGCTACCTGGGAGGCTGAGGCAGGAGAGTGACTTGAACCCAGGACGCGGAGGTTGCAGCGAGCTGAGATCATGCCACTGCACTTCAGCCTGGGTGACAGGGCAAGACTCCATCTCAAAAAAAAAAGTTGTGCTTCATGCTTGTCTGGTATCCTAGTTATTGCTGTCATTATTGATAATCTTATGGACTTCAGATATGGTATGAGTATGAGTTTCTAGGTATTCTATGCATTCTAATTCAGTTACCTTATACATATGAGATTATGAAATTTCTTTCTTTCTTTCTTTCTTTTTTTTTTTGAGAAAGAATCTCGCTCTGTTGCCCAGGCTGGAGTGCAGTGGCACCCGTAATCCTAGCACTTTCGGAAGCTGAGGCAGGCGGATTGCCGGAGCTCAGGAGCTCAAGACCAGCCTGGACAACATGGCAAAACCCTGTCTGTACTAAAAATACAAAAAATTAGCCAGGCGTGGTGGTGCCCACTTGTAATCCCAGCTACTTGAGAGGCTGAGGCATGAGAATCACTTTAACTCCGGAAGCAGAGGTTACAATGAGCCGAGATCAGACGGAACAAGACTCCATTTCAAAAAGAAAAAGAGGCCGGGCGCGGTGGCTCAAGCCTGTAATCCCAGCACTTCAGGAGACCCAGACGGGCGGATCATGAGGTCAGGAGATCAAGACCATCCTGGCTAACATGGTGAAACCCCGTCTCTACTAAAAAATACAAAAAACTAGCTGGGCGAGGTGGCAGGCGCCTGTAGTCCCAGCTACTCGGGAGGCTGAGGCAGGAGAATGGCGTAAACCCGGGAGGCAGAGCTTGCAGTAATCTGAGATCCGGCCACTGCACTCCAGCCTGGGCGACAGAGGGAGACTCCGTCTCACAAAAAAAAAAAAAAGAAAAAGAAAAAAAAGTCTAGATGAAGGAAAGAACCCAAAGAGATCAGTGGAGGCCCTAAACTGCTTTTGATCAAACATTCATCATACTAGGGGAAATTCAATGCTTGTTTTCATAGACTTGTAAGGCACAGAGGGAAAGAAGAAAAAGTTAAGGCCCGTTCAAGGTGGGGTGTATATCTTGAGACTGTCTCGCCTGAAATCTGGGAACCCAAATGCCTACATCATACTGGTGGTACTTAATGTAAGGTTGTGCTGGATGTAAACATGCCCCCGACTGCCTGAATGTTGCCTTGGAACTAAGCACAGCAGGGAGGGTCCTAGCCCTGAGATTTGTAGCTCAAATTCACATCACTTGGTTGCCAAAAAAAAGAAAGGTAGGAAGGAAGGAAGGAAGGAAGGAAGAAGGAGGGAAGGAAGAGAGGGAAGGAGGGAGGGAGGGAGGGAAGAAGAAAGGAAGGAAGAAGGGAAGGCAAGGGAGGGGGGAAGGGTGGGGGAAGGAGGGGAAGGGAAGGGAAGAAAGAAGGAAGGAAAGAAGGAAGAAGGGGAGGGAGGGAAGGAGGAAGGAAGGAAGGAAGGAAGGGCAGAGGGAAGGCAAGAAAGGAAAGAAGCAAAGAAAGAAAAGAGAAATCCCTCAAACTGTGAAGTGGGACAGTGGGACTCACATTGACAGGTGCAAATACATTTTTTCCCTGGAGGAATGTACCTTCATTCTGTATCTCAAGACTCACCACAAGACTATCAAGGTCAGTGAACAAACATACTAGGAAACAGGACACCGAGAATGATTATCAGTATAACAACAGACAGCAAAAACAGACCTGGAAAGATTCCAGATAATGGAATTATTAGTCTCGTGTTATAAAATCACTATGTTTAGCTGGTTTGAAGAAATAAAAGACAACATAAAAGGATTTATAGGTAGCATGTCATTATAAAGAGTCACCTAGGCCGGGTGCGGTGGCTCACGCCTGTAATCCCAGTACTTTGGGAGGCCGAGGCGGGCGGATCACAAGGTCAGGAGATTGAGACTATCCTGGCTAACACGGTGAAACCCTGTCTCTACTAAAAATACAAAAAATTAGCCAGGCGCGGTGGCGGGCACCTGTAGTCCCAGCTACTCAGGAGGCTGAGGCAGGAGAATGGCAAGATCCTGGGAGGCGGAGCTTGCAGTGAGCCGAGGTCACGCCACTGCACTCCAGCCAGGGGGACAGAACGAGACTCCGTCTCAAAAAAAAAAAAAAAAAAAAAAAGAGTCACCTAGCAGATTTGGGGGAAAAAAAGGAACTAGAACTTCTAGAAATGAAAAATAAAATCATCAACATGTAAAACGCAGGCTAGAAACAAGCCTTGAAAGAATGAAACTGAACTTAAATTTCCTACAAGAACAAAACTCATTCTTTAATGAAAAACCACAAAGCTTGATCCAGGTCTCAAATCATGTGATCAGCACTTACATTCTCTCTTCCTTCTTAGCATTACTTTCTTGATGCCCCAAGATAGTTGCCAGCAGTTCTTGGGACTACAGACTTCCCAGTTAAAGTTATGACTTGAAATAACGAGAGTCATTTCCCTTAACTTACCTCCCTTATTTTCTGTCTTGTGTATTTGCAGAACGAATGCTTGAGTGAATGCAGCAGTCAGCTGTCAATCTTAAGTCTCCTTAGGTAGAGAGCGGGCAACTGGGCAGCCTTTGACTTCACACCAGCCATTCACTGATGGGATTTTTCTCTCTGTAGTTTTAGGCTATTCTTCAGTGCCTTTGTTTGAACATTGTATAATTGATGATCTCAAAGCTTTCTATATATTGGAATTGTTTTTGACCATAGCATCAATAACAGCAATGGATCTTTGCCACTTGCGGTAAGAGCATCCTTTCTCTAACAATTGTACTGTGCTACCGAGACTTGAGCATGTGTTCCTTCTGTAGTCTTGTTGGCTGACCTGACCCCTGCTTTCCTCTGTGTCAGCTTTGTCATCTTATTTCCAGAGGAGATAAGCAAGGGCTCCTGTGTTTCATGTCTTACAACCTAGACTGTGAGGTCCCTTCCAGTTTTCAAATTCTTTAGAAGACTTGTTCTGAGCAAGTCTTTATCCGGAGGATACAAGATGGCATATATTAAACTGCCTGATGACAGACGCAGACTACAACACCAGGCTCCACAGACTTGAGTCCCAGCCCTGCAATTCACTTGGGAAAACATTTCTGGGCCTCAGTGTCCTTATTGTTGTGAGGGCTAAAAGAGTTTTATGCCTATAAAGTACTTAGAACAAAGCCTGGAACAAAAGAACTTTCCAGAAGAATTAGTTATTGTCATTACTAATAATCTTATGGACTTCAGATGTGGTATGAGTGTGAGTTTGTTTAAGGAAAAGTTAATGTTGTAAACATGGGAATATTTGATTTATGTTCTGGGATGGGAGAACCACTCATGTATAGCTTTTGTGTTGTACAATGTATCTGATGATTAATTGTTGGAAGTTGCATGGGCTATTGGTAGATGGAAAGAAACAAGTTACAATGTTTTTCAAGCATTTATCAATGCTAGGCAACACAGATACCATCTGGCTCAATCCTACTGTAGCCTATGAGGTAGATGTTGTTAATATCATCCCCATTTTACTCATGAGGAAACTCAGGAATGAAGTTTACATAACTTGTCCAAGGTGACGAGGCTATTCGATAGGAGATTTGGGGTTAGAATCTGGGTGCTCTGGCTCCAGAGCTCTTGCTCTGAACTGTTCTGCAGCACACCATTCCTGAAGGGGGCTCAGTAGCAGCTGTGTGTTTCCCAGGCTTGCAGCAGGGAGAATTTCTAGAGTCCACAGGGAAGACCACTGTTGCAGCATGCTCCCCCAGGGGACACCTGCCAGTGTGGGCGCCCTTCATCTTGTTACAGCTGACATCAAGCACAGATTTGCTGTCCTGTGCCTTTGCTGAGTTTCAGGATTTCATAACCGAATTTGTTTTCTCTTTGTTCTTCATAGGTTAATTATAAATTGCGCTTCAGTTACTTTCAGAAGAATTTTATACCGGGGAAGAATGTATTTTTTCAAGATGACAAAGAAGGCTGGTGCACATCCTTTCTTTACCCTCCCAATCCATGCCAAGAACGCTGGGAATTTCCATTTGCTGATGGGGAAGTCCTGGTGAGAAAGCCCCGAAGCCTGTTCATGTTAAGAGCATGGCCGTGGCTGGACGCGGTGGCTCACACCTGTAATCCCAGCACTTTAGGAGGCTGAGGCGGGTGGATTACCTGAGGCTGGGAGTTCGAGACCAGCCTTACCAACTGGTCTTACCAACAGCCTTACCAAGATGGAGAAACTCCGTCTCTACTAAAAATACAAAATTAGCTGGGCGTCATGGCTCATGCCTGTAATCCTAGCTACTCAGGAGACTGAGGCAGGAGAATTGCATGAACCTGGGAGGCAGAGGTTGCAGTGCGCTGATACTGGGCCATTGCACTCCAGCCTGACAACAAGAGCGAAACTCCGTCTCAAAAAAAAAAAAAAAAAAAAAGCATGGCCACTTTTGTTGTTTTGCTTGTTTTGCTGCCAGCACATAAACTAACATTTCAGAAGAGGTTGAAGGAGTTACATTTATAAATGTGGCATTCAGTAAAATGCTTGCATTCTAGAGTAAGTAAAAACAGTAGTTATGAATTTGATTGTAACAATATTGAATTGTTTGAAGGAAGGATGGAAACATTTTACTGGAACAAGGAGTGCAGGCACCAGTGGGTGGCCAATTTGGCAGCTACATTTGTCATCACGGAAGAAACATGATCTGTGCTTTATGCATGTTAAGATTTTCTTGGCCTCCCTTTTCCACCTGCAAGTACGACTCCTATTCTGTCTTTTATTTTATTTTATTTTATTTTATTTTATTTTATTTTATTTTGGGACGGAGTTTCATTCTTGTTGTACAGGCTGGAGTGCAATGGCACGATCTTGGCTCACTGCAACCTCCGTCTTCCAGGTTCAAGCGATTATCCTGCCTCAGCCTCCTGAGTAGCTGGGATTACAGGTGCCCACCACCACACCTGGCTAATTTTTTGTGTTTTTAGTAGAGATAGGGTTTCACCATGTTGGCCAGGCTGGTCTCAAACTCTTGACCTCAGATGATCCGCCCACCTTGGCCTCCCAAAATGCTGGGATTACAGGCATGAGCCACCACTCCTGGCCCTATTGTATCTTTTTAAACATATGTCCTGTTCAACACACATGCCACATTGTGTGATCTACGTCTAACATGCCTCCATTGTGATCTCCATTGACCGTGTCCTTTCATTTCATCCATCTCATTTAATTTAATGAAGAGGAAACAGAAGATAATCATCCACACTCTAGCGACTCCCTGCATGCCTGTGCAGCTCCTAAGAGTGGTGGTACATGCCTGTAATCCCAGCTACTCAGGAGGCTGAGGCAGGAGAATCACTTGAAACCAGGAGGCAGAGGTTGCAGTGAGCTGAGATTGTACCATTGCACTCCAGCCTGGGCTACAAAAGCGAGACTCCATCTCAAAAAAAACAAAAAACAAAAAAACTCGTATCAAGTACAAGAAATAAGCAGAAGACTAGAAATAAAAGACAAATACCAATGAGGTCAGAAGCACAATAAATCAGGACCAGAGGGGAAACAAATACAAAGGAAAAGTGCCAAGTCTTGGGGTGTATATACTATACAAGCCAACATTTATGATCAGTTGATTTTCAATAGTGGGGCCAAGACAATTCAATGAGGAATGAATAGTCTTTTCAACAACTGGTGCTGGAATAACTGGATATTCACATTCAAAAGAATGAACATGACCAGGTGCACTGGCTCACACCTGTGATCCCAACACTATGTTAGGCCGAGGCAGGAGGATTGCTTGAGTCCAGGAGTTTGAGACCAGCCTAGCCAATATGGTGAAACCCCCATCTCTACTAAAAATAAAAATGTAGCGGGGCATGGTGGCAAGTACCTGTAATCCTAGCTACTTAGGAGGCTGAGGCAGGAAAATCGCTTGAACCCAGAGGCAGAGGTTGCAGTGAGCTGAGATTGCCTCCCATTGCACTCTCGCCTGGGCAACAAGAGTGACATTCCGTCTCAAAAAAAAAAAAAAAAAAAAAAAAAAAAGCCAGGCATGGTGGCCTAAGCCTGTCATCCCAGCTACTCTGGAGGTTGAGGCGGGAAAATCAGTTGAAGCCAGGAGGTCGAGGCTACAGTGAGCCATGATCTGCACTCCAGCCTGGGCAACAGAATGAGACCTTGTCTCAAAAAAAAAAAAAAAAAAAAAAAAAGAACATGGAGACCTATATCACATCATACACAAAAATTAACTCGTGATAAAAACAAACCAGGATATAAAGGAACTTCGTCAACCTAATAAAGGGACATTTATGAAAACCCCACAGTTAGCATTATATTCAATGCTGAAATACTGAAAGTCTTCCCCCTATGATCAGTTACAAGGATGCCTATTTTCTTTTTTTTTTTTTTTTTTTGAGACGGAGTCTCGCTCTGTCGCCCAAGCTGGAGTGCAGTGGCCTGATCTCAGCTCACTGCAAGCTCCGCCTCCCGGGTTCACGCCATTCTCCTGCTTCAGCCTCCCGAGTAGGTGGGACTACAGGCGCCCGCCACCTCGCCCAGCTAGTTTTTTGTAGTTTTAGTAGAGACGGGGTTTCACTGTGTTCACCAGGATGGTCTCGATCTCCTGACCTCGTGATCCACCCGTCTCGGCCTCCCAAAGTGCTGGGATTACAGGCTTGAGCCACCGCGCCCGGCCTCAAGGATGCCTATTTTCACCACTTCAACAGTGTACTGGAAGTTCTAGCCAGAGAAATTAGGAAATAAAAAATAAAATGCATCCAATTGGAGAGGAAGAATTAAAACTGTCTCTATTCAAAGATGATATGATCTTATATAGAGAAATCCCAAAGAATCTACACAAAAAAGCTACTAGAGTAATAAATGAATTCAGCCAATTTTCAAAAATCAGTTGTGTCTCTATAGACTAGCAATGAACATTCTGAACAGGAAATTAAGAAAACAATTCCACGTAGAATAGCATCCAAAATAACATACCTAGGAATAAATTTAACCAAAGAAGTAGAAGACTTTTACAGTGAAAACTGTGAAATAATGCTGAAAGATAAAAAAATCTTAATCGAAAACCATGCCATTCTCATGGAGTGGAAGACTTAATTTTTTTTTTTTTTTTGAGACAGAGTCTCGCTCTGTCGCCCAGGCTGGAGTGCAGTGACCGGATCTCGGCTCACTGCAAGCCCCGCCTCCCGGGTTCACGCCATGCTCTTGCCTCAGCCTCCCGAGTAGCTGGGACTATAGGCGCCCGCCACCTCGCCCGGCTAGTTTTTTTGTACTTTTTAGTAGAGACGGGGTTTCACCGTGTTCGCCAGGATGGTCTCAATCTCCTGACCTCGTGATCCGCCCGTCTCGGCCTCCCAAAGTGCTGGGATTACAGGCTTGAGCCACCGCGCCCGGCCAGACTTAATATTCTTAAGATGGCAATATTCCCCAAATTGATACAGATTCAATGCAATCTCTAATAAAATTCGAGGCCGGGCGTGGTGGCTGACACCTGTAATCCCAGCACTTTGGGAGGCCGAAGCGGGCAGATCACGAGGTCAACACATCAAGACCATCCTGGCCAACAAGGTCAAACCCTGTCTCTACTAAAAATACAAAAATTAGCGGGGTGTGGTGGCGCATGCCAGTAGTCCCAGCTACTTGGGAGGCTGAGGCAGGAGAATCACTTGAACCTGGCAGGCGGAGGTTGCAGTGAGCCGCGATCATACCACTGTGCTCCAGCCTGGTGACAGAGCAAGACTCCATCTCAAAAAAAAAAAAAATTCCAGAGGCCCTTTATTTTTTCCAGCAATACACAAGTCAATCCTAAAATTCATGTGGAATTGCGAGGGTCCTCAAAAACCAAAACAATTTTTTTTTTTTTTTTTTTTGAGATGGAGTCTCACTCTGCCGCCTAGGCTGGAGTGCAGTGGCGCGATCTCAGCTCACTGCAAGCTCCGCTTCCCGGGTTCACGCCATTCTCCTGCCTCAGCCTCCTGAATAGCTGGGACTACAGGTGCCCACCACCGCACCCGGCTAATTTTTTGTATTTTCAGTAGAGACAGGGTTTCACTGTGGTCTCGATCTCCTGACCTTGTGATCCACCCACTTTGGCCTCCCAAAGTGCTGGGATTACAGGCGTGAGCCACTGCACCCGGTCCAAAACAATATTTTAAAAGAAGAACAAAATTGGAAGACTCATATTTTCTGATTTTAAACTTACTACAAAGCTACAGGGATCAAAACATAATTTTTTTTTTTTTTCATTTTGACATGGAGTCTCGTCACCCAGGCTGGAGTGCAGTGGCATGATCTCTGCTCACTGCAACCTCTGCCTTCTGGGTTCAAGCAATTCTTGTGCCTCAGCTTCCCGAGTTGCTGGGATTGTAAGTGTGCGCCACCATGCCTGGCTAATTTTTGTATTTTTAATAGAGACAGCGTTTCACCATGTTAGCCATGGTGGTCTTGAACCACTGCCTCGGCCTCCCAAAGTGCTAGGATTACAGGCACGAGCCACCGCGCCTGTCCAAAACAGAATGGTTTTGACATAAGGACAGACATGTAGACCAATGGAATAGAATTAAGAGTCCAGAAGTAAACCTATACATCTATGGCCAATTGATTTTTGGTTTTTTTTCTTCTCTCTCTTCACTCAGGCTAAAGTGTAGTGGCACAGTAACAGCTCACTGCAGCCTCTACTTCCCAGGCTCAAGCAATCCTCCCACCTTAGCTTCTTCAGTAGCTAGGACCATAAGCGCATGCCACCATGCCTGACTGATTTTTTATTTTTTATCTTTTTCTTTTTTCTATTTATTTATTTATTTATTTAGAGACGGAGTTTTCCTTTTTTGCCCAGGCTGGAGTAAAGTGGCTCGATTTTTGCTCACTGCAACCTCCGCCCCGCTGGTTCAAGCGATTCTCCTGCCTCAGTCTCCTTAGTAGCTGGGATTACAGGCCTCTGCCACCACACCTGGCCAATTTTTGTATTTTTAGTAGAGATGCGGTTTCACCATGTTGGCCAGGCTGGTCCCAAACTGTTGACCTCAGGTGATCCACTCGCCTCAGCTTCCCAAAGTGTT